TGGAACCAAAGTTCAATACACGACCACAACATACGCACACCGCTTGCAAAATGGCGTTTCTTTTTCTCCGATGGTGGTGATGGCGATCGAGCCCCCGGCGTTGTACACGTGACCTCTAAAAAGCGCGACGATTTGGGGGGTATCAGTGATTGATGGAACAGCCGTTTTTTTTTCTCGCTCATGGACGCTTTTTTTTTTTTTTTTCAAGTTTTATTTCGATAAACACGTTGGTTAGGTCGTTGCACTTCGAATTTTTTTTATTTGCTCGTCGATTTGCCTTCTTTTTTTCTTCAGGGTACGGGGACCGCGTTCGAACTGTACCGCTGGGGGGTAGAATCGTTTCTGATCACGGCCAAGTTCGGGGTGCGCCTATTATGCGCGGAATTAAAAAAAATCGAATTTTCCGCGACCAAACTAGGGGTGCGCCTATTATGCGAGTGCGCCGATTATGCGAGTAAATACGGTACCTTTTGATGCGAAGCAGCTTATGAACAAGGCCTGTCCTCTGTCACCCCGTAGCTGCCGCTGTCGATGATGTTGATGATGATGAAGAACAAGCGCGTTCCAGAACACATATTCTCTTTCTGCCATCACGGCACTGCACATGCAAGTACCCACTGTATGTCATGATGATGACACTGATGACAATAAAGATGACTATCACCGACGACATGGCTTGTGCAGTAGATGACACCTCGATATGCTCTACGATGCATTTTTTATAACTGGAAGCAACGAACAGCCTTGGAATCTGCCCAAAAAGGAATCTGCCAGACCTAGTCTTTGCGAACTTCAGGCTGTAGATCCGTTACTACAAAACAGTAATAATGAGGGCAAAACGGAATTCACAACTCAACACAATATACCTCTTACGACCAATAAACATTGTATAGTACACCGCTTGGCACTCATTTACATGAGTGAGTTATCAATGTCACGGGTTTTTACAGTAACACCGAAAGATACCACTGCCCATCATCATTCACTTCGTGGATTTGCGGTGTTTTTTTTATGTGTTGGTATTGACATAGTGTGATCGAAATGAACAGACCCCAACACTCTTCGTTGTGCCGGCTTAAAGGGGTGGTGTCACCATATTTGTGGCTGGCGCATTCTTTGCTACAAGTGTTCTTTATAGCCCCAGGAAACATGATACAGGCAGCAAGATTAATTTATTTTTGCTAAATAAATTAATATTGTCTTATTTACGTCTATAGTTTGCGGTTTCGGTTTCTGGGGGCCGTGTTGGACTGTGACCTAGCAGGGTTGGTGGCTTGGTCACATGACCGCACAAGGCTGTGATGTACGTCGTGCTTATTATCGTCTGCTCTTGCACATGCCTGCCACACAAGTACCTGCAAAACAAAAGCGCGGACAGTTGCCATTACTAGCTGCAGCAGTCACGATGCTTTGCTGTTATGTACGTGAGGGGCCCGCAAGTGCACACACCATCGTGTGCACAAGGTGGGGAGGCGTAGTCAGGGGGGCATCCACTCTACTATTCACCAAAGATAGAAGGGGGTACAGTCAGCCCCACTCATTGACAGAAAATGGAGAAAAGGGGCACTCTGACTCGAGGGGGGTGGGTGGGTGTTGTGATGAACCCTCGTCCCTCGATGGAGGAAGCCTGCACATGCCTTCGCAGATTGCAGGTCTCGTGCGACATCACAACTTTCGTTGCCCTTTCTAAAGGGCTACAGCAATGCTGGGGGGGCTTGCGATGGGCTTCGGTCAGAAGAATAAACATTAAGGTACAGTTTTAAAATAAAATAATTATATTTTAAGCATTTGCTGTTTGGTGTGAAACACCCATAGCGGCAAAGATGTCGTTCAGTGTCGTTTGCCCGTATCCTGTGCTCTGCACAGCATGCGCCGTGTAAGCCTTGATCTCGAATGGGGTGTTGTTATTGTTACTGTGATATGGGTTATTGAACCAGAGTACTAGTCGCATCTAGGTCGCAACGGAAAAGGACTGTGCGGCAAGGCTGGCAAAGGCAGCACGGGTTCTCGTGCGAACAGAACGCGGGGCTTTTCATCCTCTTCCGAAGGCACATGTTGGTGCATATGCTCCACTACATTACCACTAACTCGTCTCGAACTTCATTTTGAGCCAACTTCCCCGCAGTTTCTGCACTGAAGCTTTAGCTTCACAGCGACGCTGTACTCATGTGTATTCGATAGTCGGCTGTCTCTGGCGCACTCAGCAAAAAGAATGTATAAAGTAAGCTGTTTACCATGTCAAGGTCAACAATTGTATACGTCGTGGCATCCTTTGTGCTCGTCCACCGAGGTGATCAGAGATATCTGTTGACAAGTGCGTTGATTTATGACACTCTGACCACTTGTCGTTACTGCTAGAAGCTGTAGCGATCAGTGGCTACCTTCGTGTCGGGCTGCTACATTGCGGCGTCTGCCCATCAACTGTCCTGCTTGACTGTGCCAATGTAGCCGTTGCCGACTGTGATGACTACACAGGCTGTGTGGCACGTTTTTTGCGCCGCTTGCCGAATTTATGCAGCATGCGAAACTTACGAGCATGGTTTGGCATCTCGATACCGATCGCAAAACTTTCAGGAATGGCGGTAAACGAGCGTGGTAGCGGCCGTGCGCGGGATCGCCTGTGTTGTCAGTCTGCTCTTTCCAATCACAAGGCACCGTTCACTCATGTGATCGCTATGGACCAATGATATAGTGTGGTTCTTTTGCTTGTTTTTGCCTGGTAGCGCATGTTGGCTGCAGCATTAGAGGCTCATTTTTGGTGGGAAAGCAAGCCAAAAAAATGCTCTTTCAAGCGAAGTTGAGAGTTGAGAGCGCTGTGTTCCCATGAGTGGTTAACGTGAGGGGAGCAAGACAGAACAGGGTCATTTTCGGGGTTTTTGTAAGCAAAACCAAGTGGGTCATTTTTGGCGTTTTTGTAAGCGAAACGAAGTGCTGCGACCCATAAATAGAATTTATTTGGGCTAAACGGCACATAATTTCGAGCTGATTTTTTGCTGGCAGGCGCGCGATATGAAGAGAACGAAAATCGCAAAATTTTTTTTCGTCACCAAGACCCCTGTGCCCCCTTCAGTCAACATTGATCCTTGAGATAGCTGTCCAGAAGCCTTGTAGCGCTACTTTTGTGCCAAGGAAAAGCTTATTTTGAAAGACAATCTCAATTTAGTGGTCTGCACAGCACTAGCACACTTCAAATTGCCCACCTTTACTTTGTGGCTGCTGACTTTTGTAGAAGCGTAGTGAAAGTAGCAGGACGCACAGCAGCAACAGCCATTGAAGCTTGCCGCAATGGATGTTGTTAGTGAACCTGACAACAAGATCAGTAATGTTGAACAAGACATTGGCTCACGACACTGACGCAGAGGCATAGCACTCGGCCACTTCCAGTGAAGGGGTTGTTTTGTGGCACCCAGTGGAAAGTGATGCTGGTTTCTTTGCTGCATCTCGAGTGGCGTAGACCATTTGGGCATTCGGCAACATCAAATGCATGTTGCATTTCGTCTAACCTTCTCCTACAGTGACTTTCGTGAGCATGCAAAGCACACTTGGCAGTGTGCGATACCGAAGCTACCACTGAGACATGCAGTTCGGCGAAAACTGAACTTTTCAACCACTCGCCTTGTTTTTCATAGTAAACCAAAGGGCCCGTTTTTCTCATGAATCAAACAGAAATGAGCAAGCAGCATTTTATTGGGTGTAATATGCATGGAAGGTTCGTTTTTTATTACAACTAGTTTTATTACTGATCAATTGTACCCGAGACTTTTGATGTCATAGGAATCATTTAAAAATATCCCACTCATGGCACATATGGTGTTGCACATACACCCCAATTTCTCAATCAGCAGAGTACTGCTGGTAATACTAATATTGATGTTTTAGACGTTTTCAAATGTTGATTTTTCACTACTCTGACAAAAGCTATTTGCGTTGATGCCCTTTTAATCTGAAACCGCTGTTTTGTTCTTTTGAAGTCATTCAGTCACACCAGTTAACTAGCTTACCTAGTCCTTCTTAATACGTACCTTCCTAATAAAACATAGCGGTAGTTTCGGTGTTTTCTTTTTCTTTGAAAATTAGATTCCTTAGATCCGGGGCTTGCCTAGGAGTTTTGTTCATATATGCGCCTTGTTGGCTACTACGTTGCCACGGGAGAAAATTAAATGCCTGGACAAATTCGGGAGTTCTTTCTTTTCTTTTACATTCAGTTCACTGTCTAGTCTTGTGGTTTAGGTGTGCTTTGCTCTTCATTATCCTTTGCAGTGGCTGGTAACTCATGCAGTCCACGTTATCTCCAGCACCTTTCTTTTTGGAGTATTAATCTTATCATTTGAATTGAGCTCTGAAGTACAAGCCCATACGTCAAGCACTATGCTCCTGCCATGACAGGAGCCCCGCCACAGTGGTCTAGTGGCTAAGGTACTCGGCTGCTGACCAGCAGGTCGTGGGATCAAATCCCGGCTGCGGCGGCTACATTTCCGATTGAGGCGGAAATGTTATAGGCCTGTGTGTTCAGATTTGGGTGCACAATAAAGAACCACAGCTGGGCGAAATTTCCAGAGCCCCCCACTACGTCGTCTCATAATCGTATGGTGGTTTTGGGACATCAAATCCCACATATCATCTGCCATAACAGGAGCAAAAGGCCACAACTTTAGTTTTGTTAGAACAGATTCTTGCCGTAGATGCTTGCTTACAAAGAAGCAGTAATGGTGCTGAAATTGCATCGTACATGATCCTAATCACTGAGCAGCTGCCAGTGCTACAAACATGTGCTGTATGCACGTGCATGCGATACAAAATATTTGTCCTTGGACTTGCTCGTGCTCGAACTCTTTGGTTCTGATCATTGCTCTTTCGCACCACATGCCTCTTACTCTAGACAATTGCATATGCTAATACACAGGCAAAGTGCTGCAAAGTAATAATTGTTTTTTTAATGGCCACTGTTTTAAAGACATAGTTTGTCTAAGCCCTTTATTTCTGTTTATTTCCCATTTCAGCCACTTCACTATATGCTCTCACTGGTGAAGTTACACTCATACAGGAACTGAGTCCTTTGGTTATTTCAAAGCGTGACCTGCTGAGTAAGTGCCAGGATCTGATCAACATCCTCCAGCGGGAGTTTGTGTTGGTTCTAGTGAGTAGTCTCTGTCGTTGAATGTAAAATGTTTTACTGATTCCCACTCTGTATATCTTTTATTTCAGCCATGCTCCAGTGTGCGGGAAGTGATCGATGATGCCATATCATACTTTGCGACGAACAACATTCTATGCACCTGTGACGTAAGTGCACTAAAGGCCCATGAATGACATTTCATTCAAACGGTGAAAGGAGCAGAAACTGATATGCAGTGCCATTTGAGTGAAGGCAAAGCGGTCAAAGCTGCTTTTTCTTTCATGAACACACCACCATAATAGATTTGTCATCGTGTTGCCGTTTCTATTGTGGTGTTCTTTTTTTCACAGCACAGCTGTTTAGTCTCTAATTGGTGTGTGTGTTCATGTTGAATGAAAATCATCATAGTTAAATACTTCAACTTTCCTCCATCTTCAACATCAACTTTTTTATATCAAACTATATGAGAATACATTTCGGGTGGGTTAATAAACCAGAGAAAGGTGTAACAGTTATACTAGATGGCGATTTGAATATAACCTCAATCACACAACCAGGCAAACAGCAGTGTTTTTTTGTGTTGTTTCTAGGGAGTCCTAACAGCTTTCGTGCTGGAAAGATTCAAAGCAACCAACCGCGTGGTACAGATTCTCAATAGAAGCATTGCATTGGCAGTGTGGTCGTGCTTGTCTAATAGCTTCGCTGTGCTTCCATGTTGAAAAGGTAGAATGGAAACTGGATTTCTTGCTTGCTTTTAATGCGAAAAGGCAGTGTGCTGTGATCACGAAAAAATTTGGGACACATACTTCTGTTTCCACTATCTTCAGTTCATGTAGCGACTTCACTCCTGCGCCAACTGCACCAAATCCGATCTACTGCGCCATCCTGATACTCAAACCTCAATATAATGAACCCAGATATTACGTGAAGTAGACGAAAAATACTCTTATAATAGATAGTTTGAAAATATACCTTTATAATAAATTTTTGGATATGATGAACTTATTTTCATGCAAGATGCAATTTCGTTATGTTTTACTGTAACATCAACGGAAATCCCGCCAAGCTGCGCCTAAGTCTCGGATGGGGAAGGGTCTATCACCGGCAATAGCCAGGCTGGCATGTCAAAAGATGTGCAGCGTGTTTTTGGGGCCACCAAAGTCACAACCATGTACTTAGATTTACAGTCAAACCTGTATATAATGGTATTAATGAATTCCCATAAATATTACTTATAACCAGGATTTTGTTCTATGCAGATTCAGTGATAAAATCCAAAAAAGAAAAGCACAAAAATAAAAGGGGAACAGAGGGCAGAGCTTATCCAAAATATTAATTTAGCACTAAAAGCTCTAATTGTTACGATAGCAGTTACCGTCTTTACTCGATTCTACTGCGCCCTTGATTTTAACGCAAACCTGTTTTTCACGACCAAAAAAAAAAACTGAAAAAAAAGTAAAACTCCAATTGCTGTGGACAACCGCTTTTCGTGCCAAAGGAAGGTCACTTAAGCAGCAACTGAGAATTATTGTAAGGATGGTGTCGCGGTCACTCACGCACTGTCTTTGCAAGCATCAGTGCACGGCTGTATTTTCTTTGTGCGAAGAGATTATGGAAAAAAGTGTATTTCTCTCTGGAACGGCCATATTCTCTTTCACGATCGTTTTATAGAGTTTCGCAATATCGGACACGGAAGAGTTAGCTGCTATGCTGGCCTTACTTTGTATAGGATTACAATTCATTGCTTCGCCCTTGTGACATAACTGTTTTTTTTTTTTTGCTCTAGTGATTGTCCGTACGACATAAAAATTTGGCTCATCCCACTGCCTTGGGAATCAATGCTTCATCCCACTGCCTTGGGAATCAATGTTATGTGAAGCTTGTGGATAGAAGGGGATTGTGTTGTAGTTTTTTACAACGAATGCTGTTATGAGATCACAACTTGAATCTCGTGCAGCACCGTAGTTGCCGCCGCCGCCGGTATCCATAACCACATCGCACAAAATTCAAAATTGAAAACAAAAAAAAAAACCACGAAAAAATCGCAGTACTAATGACACAGTGGGGCTCAAACATGGGTCCACTTGGTGCCAGCCCAGTATTCTACCTCTGAGCCACGCCGGTGCTTGGGACTTGTTGACAAACTTGCCTTGGGCAGGCTTGATGTCGGGAAAGCAATCACGTTAATACGACTTTAGCCACTGCATAAACAATGGTGCGAAATTCCTTTTTTGCGGGTACCACACTTCTCAGAAGAATGACGAAACATAGCACAGTGAATGCTGGCCTACAACCATAAAACTCTTATAATGACGTAGTGGGCGTCAAGCAAGTGAGCTTGCAGCAGTTACCCAATGAGTGTTCAGAAAAGGCTCTGAAAGGCCGCTGTTCTTCGCTTTCACTGTAACTGTGCTGCGCCTTCCATGCGGGCCTGGTGTTTTTTATTGAACGAAACGTTACAAAGTGGTGCTAATGACAGCACGTATGAACACACATTTAACAGCCGCATATGTTTTATGTAATTAGTTGTTTCCAGTTGCGTTACGATGCCATCAGAGCCAAGAATATTAGCAACACCAGAAGCGTTAAGCTTATATAAAGCGCTGGTGCTCGCGAGGATTGTAGCCCTGGACACTGATACCTAAACAAACTACAGCAGATGTCGCCTAACTGCAATTCACTGTAATTTGACGTGACTGACGTATCATAGGAGTACTTATGTAATGTTTGTATAATTGGATAGCCAGCATATAAATGAAATTATCTCATTTATCTGCTGGATAGCCAGCAGATAAATGAAATTGAAATCTGTTTGCGAACTTGAAATCTTCATTCGAGTACACAGGCATGGTAGTTTTCATGACAGTAGGATAATAAACATTTTTTAAGACCCTCGTCCCCCTTTAACTTCAAGCCCTAGGCCCCACACTTTTATTCTTGTCTCCTTGAGTAGATTGTTATAATTAAGCCGACCGAAAACCCTGCTTTTGGCGTTTTTTGGCTCGAGTTGCCCTTGCGTCATTAAAATCTACCATAATCATTTTCAAAGGTCTGCACACTCGCTGCATGTACAAAAACTTTGCTGCATTTGCTATATTCGAGGTAGGTATAGCAGCTTGGATGACCATAGACCTCTGAACACCTCTTCCACGCTGATGCACGTACTGCATGAACGGCACTTACAAATGAACATCTTAAATGGCGTGACGATGGTGTTGCCACCTTGTGGATCAAGGCTGAATGGAAACCCCCTGTGTGGCCACTCCAGGGAGCAAAGCACTTTTCAGTCTTTTCACGTTAAAAAAAGACACTCGTAGAAAAGTATACGAGCAGTTCCTGATCGCTGCTGGAATAGCGCACACCAGTGATTGCGACCTTAAAGTCAAAAGATTTTGTGAGTGTGCTCGACTTCCATCATTTCACTGTTCGCATGATGGCTGAAAGCCAAGACATCCTTGATATACGAAATGTACCACTTAGGCATGAGTTGAACACATGCAGCCAGCTTTTGCTTTGAGATCTTTGAACGGCCGGATGAGCATGCAAAGATGAAAAAGTGGACTAATTGACGAAGCCTCTTTGGTGATCAGAATACCTGGTTTTCACAACACCGGTGAGATAAAGGTACATAAGTCAACTTATCAGCTGCGGTTCATGGATTGACTGAACTTGCGCGGTTGTAAATGTAAGTGAACCAGTCCTTCACTGCGGACACCCGCAAATAAGGGGTGGTTTGCGCTGAGATCTTTTGATAGGGGACGAAGGGAGGGCAGCCAGTTGCATTGGTGCTGGAGCTTTAGGGCTGTCGCTAGCTGTTAGGTCCAGTGGCTGTATAACTGTAGAAGTGGCCAGGCACACGGTGTGACTGAACTGTAGCTTCAGGTAGGACACGAACGCAGGAGGACATTCGGATCTTGACACACTTCTACCACTCTGGAAGATGCATAAAGACTTAACCAGAGAGCACCAGCAGGACAGTTTATTTAGCAGTGTCTGCCTTAGTTTAGAACACCAAGAAGAAAGATTAGGGATGATTGCTATGTACTCAGCGGTCCACTGTTGAAAGGAACATCAATGCGCGTAGCGTCTGCACTGTGCCATCGCCTGTTAGGGGCTGCAACAGGTTGTGTTGGACTCCACAAATATTTTGTGTGTTCCACATAATTGAATGCCCCATTTAGATGGGACAAAGCTGTTTTACTGCAGAAATAAATGTGCCCTTCATAAAATCGGCACAGCTTTTTACTTTTAGTGTTTGCCTTTTAGAATGTCTTGCACAGAATTAATCTTTTGTTGTTACGCAGAGCACCCAGCCAAAGCAGGATGATCCATATGCGTGGTCGACGGATGATGAATCGTCACTCAACAATTCGGAGTACGAATATGGTGAATCAAGGGAGTACGAATTCATGGAAGAATACAGTGTGTGTATTGATTCTCATGCCATTTCAGTTTTTATAGATAAATATTTGCATGCATTTGATGATATATGGGGTCTAACGTCCCAAAACCACCATATGATCATGAGAGACGCCGTAGTGGAAGGCTCCGAAAAAGTGGTGTCTGCTAATGAAATAGCCACATTCACAGAGCACATTGCGCCCGCGCGAAGCTCGTTGCAGCCGCCACACGCTCTGATGTTCTCCTAAAGGAGCAGACATCAAATTTACTCATGCGAAGATTTTTGTGTCAGCGAATAGCTATAGACCCCGTATCAGCGATTCGCGACCTAAAACGCAACTCAAGGATGAATAACTATCACTTTTATTAATTTATATTACTGGGATCTAGCCCTATTCGAAAACGGCCGACAATCCCGCCATTTTTAGCGCTAGGAGCACCAGCAGTGGCGCTACCTCTCGGTCACCTCCAGATCACACCACAGCTGACCACTTCTCCACAGAAAAGAGTGACGTCAGGCTCAGCTGCTCCACAAACATTTTGTTTGCTAGGCGGGCACATTCAGTCATGCCTTGTCACCTGCATTGCTGTCGTCGCCGTACAAAGTGTCGACTCGGGTTCAATACGATAGTGTGGAGCTTGGAATCCCCGCCATTCGCGGCCTCGCGAATTATTTTTGCTTCGATTGACCTTTTGCAGAACAGTTATTCCGAAATGGACGCTGTTCCAACCTGCACTGCATGGGTGCACAAGGATGCACGCTTCAGCCTTGTTCGCTCGTGTGTCTCAGTTAGTTATATTGGTGTGTTTTGGCATGCAAAGCATTCAGGTGTATGCAGAGGGGTCAATGCAATATAGCTATCGCGAATGAGCATCAGCAGAGAAATTGAATACGTTTCCTGCTTGTCAGGTTCTTTTTTGCGCCTTCAGATGGCCCCACCTATCCAGCCTCTCGCAGTTAACACGGTATTACCACTTTTATGTGGACGCAAAGTCTACAGATGAACTAAAATTCAACGATACCTGCATGCTACTTGTTAGCGATGATATGAGACTACAAGCTCTTCCACTTTCGAAAGCTTGTGGTTGTGTTGATGTGTAACACACACGCGATATGAAAAAAAGACCAACATTGCACTTTTTCCGTGCTTCAAGCTAGACTGCAACTCACCTGCAACTCACGATTCCCCAACATGCTGACCGACAAGCATATGTTTAATCAGGCTCTTTTTTTTTGCCATTCTTTTAAAGGTGGTTTTTATCGTGATAATTTCACGAAATCATTCAAACCGGTGTGATGATCAGACGCGATGAGCCACGGCCGAGCTAGACTGCACCTGTGCGCGCTCGCCCGGCCCTAGCTCGGCCGTAGACGAGCGAGTGCGTTTCCGCACTTCGGTGCCAGTCGACGCCACGGTAAGATCACCCGGATCGTAAACGTCATCGCTACTAGGGCATCATTACTCAGGATGGTATTTGTGGAATGTGTCACACCGAACACGTAGCACTAGTGTCGATGTCACAGGGCAGTCTATTTTTTGTTTTTTTTTCTCCTTAGCTTTTCTATGCTGCTTGACATGGACTTAAAATCACTTCCACGCGACAGATGCCGTTCAAATTTGGCCAAGAAGACCTTTGCATACCAAGCGATCGAATTATGGGCACATCTTGATCTTAAAATTTGATGTCACTGCTCCTTTAAAAGTGGATCCCTGTGTGCAAGGGAGAGCATTGAAGTGTGTTAAATGTGCACAAAATGCTGAAAGTTAGCTGGTGCTAATCTGTGTTTGCTTTCCTTGTATTCGTTCCTACTTTTCAGTTCGCTGGATCATTCGATACCAACTCTTTCGACTTTCAACACTAGTTAGAGACATTTCCTTAAAGGCCAGATTCGTAGAATCTTGGCACAGTTGTCTCGAGCTGTCATGCATACCAGTTGTTACACAGAAGGTATTGGGGTCACATTTCTATCAATTAACACTGTACTTAAAGAGTAACATGCGTGCAACAAGCTTGCTTTCTTAGAGATAATTGGCTGCTGAAGGCCTTTATGTCGCCTGTGCAGACTGCTCTGAGCCTAATGTTGCCATATTTACTTGCAAAATTTGTGTGCTTCCATATTAACACCCAATAAAAAAAACCAAAGAAACGTCTTCCCTATTTTTTCTCCTTGTGCAGTACCTGCAATATATGCAAGGTATATTAGGGAGGTTGCTGCAATTGGCATGCCCATGCAGTTCAGTTCGTGTGCAGAAAATACAGTGAGAAAACTAGCGCTCGAGGTGGTGGTGAATTCATGTTACTGGGATGAGTGCGCCATGTGGATTGCCACTTTGTTGTATGGCCTCTGCACTTGTCACTTGTCTCGTCATGATCAGCGCACAAAAACACAAAAAATGCTAGAAAAAGTGCATGATGTGTCGTGACGTGTCTGGAGACTAAAATTGTTCGGACAGTTGTCGTGCTATCTGGCACGTCTTTCACTATGCTTAAATTAAGTACATAACTGCATAGTGTATTATATAGTATACTGCATAGTGTATTATATAGTATACGAGATGCAGCAGAAGTCAGTAATGAAGTCATAGGAACACATTTCTTGGGAAACTGCAGTTTATTTGGACATAGCTGGGAATGTTAATTTTTTTTTTATTGTGATAGCAATTATATAGACACACTCGTCTGGATTTTGGTGTAGTCGTCACTCACCACATATATATATATATATATATATGAAAATGCAACAAAGAAAAAAAAAAAAACTGAAAGACTCCGGCGCACGGAATCAGACTTGGGTCCTCTCAATCGTGAGTGCGACGCGTTAACCACTAAGCCACCAAAAAGCACGTGCTTCACTGTTCAAACAGCAAGCTATTTATATCTACTATCTCAGGTGAATTGTCGCGTTTTCAGCATTACCAGCAAGATGGCGCAATGAGTGCGCGTCGCCACATCGCGCGGCGGCACGCGCTCTAATCTCCCATGCGTACTTAGGAGGGAAGTGACGCTCCCTTGCGCGCCCTTATCTCGCGGTGTGGAGGAGGGGAGGATTGGACGCCTTGGCTGGCCTCTGGCTTTACCTGGAACGATTCTGTTGTAGTTACCGGGCACAAAAAGGTCACTGCAATTATTGCAGTCTCCGTTTGCAAAAAGTGCACACTTTTCAGACACGTAGAAGTAACAACTGAGACACCTATTTGTGTGCATCTGTACCTGTGAGTACGTTTCATGCGTCATTTGTGCGTGAAAAACACGGGGCACGTTTCGATCTGCTTTCCAGTATGCGCGTGACCTTCCGATTTGTTACTATCGCATTTATTGCGTCGCCTTTGCGGCAAAGCTGCGACATTTTTTTTATATATAGGATGAGAACCCTAAATTATCTAGACAAGATCATGCTGTAGCATATAAGGGTAATATGTATATAGTAATAATAATAATGGAAATCTTCAGCTTGATGAAGTGCAGGTCGCCGCCTCGTTATTAAGGGGACGCTCCTTGTTCATCCACCTAACCACTGTTGTGGAAAAAACTCTCATGGTTCCTTGTGCACTCGCATAACTCAAATGCGAAAACCACCTTTTTAGTCTTTTACATCGATTGCATTGATAACCCCACCCTCAAAAGGCTGATGTACTAACTTTCACGTCTGCTCTATGCTGGTGTAAATTGAATTAAGACGGTTCCAGTTTTTTTTTTCCCAAAGGTTGATTTATTTTTCAGAAGTCTTTAGGAATGTAACTTTTTGGGATGTCCAATTGATCCTCTACCTCTTTAGCTGATTGATGATGAGTGAAAGGGGGAAATTACCTTACATCTATAACTACACCATCATGCTACTACCCTATGCTGCTGGAAAAATTTCAAAAATACCCATCAAGTTGGGTAATTACGCTACAGGCCGCTGCGCTACAGGCCGGTGCGCTCCGATTTGTGTGCACTTTATAGAACCTGAGGTGGTCAAAATTACCAGAGCTCTCCACTATGGTGTCTCTCAGTCACATGTTTTTGGATGTAAAACCCTAAATATTGCGTTCGTATTTTTTTTATTAGTATGTGATGAATTGCGGAGCCTTTTTTTTTTTCCCGTATTGAAGGTCTGTTGTTACTGTGCTATGGTGTCTGCATCTAATGATTTAATGTGCTTTTCTGTTTGACATTTATTGATTGCATATGATGTGCTTGCATTGTGCAATTTTAGTGGTGTTTCCCACCACTTATTTAATACCTCCTTCGGAAGGGAACTTCATAAGATTGAATTAATCTACATTTTTTATGGATGTTACATTTACTAATGTCAGATGCTTTCTCCTCTTTTCAACTCTTCTGTATGGCATGCACTATCAACCTGTGCGGTTTGTTTGCTACTTAATTAAGTTCTTGGATTCACTTTCCACTTGCTCAAAAGTTTCTGTGGCCGAATGAAGGAAGGAAGAACATTTTATGCAGCTTTAAATTAAAAGGGCCCTCATTGTTTTGGTATTTGTTTAACAGAATTGAGCCTTTTTTCTTTGCATTTTCAATAAAAGTGCACATGGAGTGCTGCTCGTGCTGCCCACATTAATCTTGATGCTGTCGAAATGCAGAAAAGCTCACTGTGATATGGGTTACATCTTTAAAACCACATTAGTATTAACTTTATTTCCTGCAGCACCCTCCCCTTACATTGCCATTGAAATCTTAGTACAGTCGAACCCGACTACAACGATCGCCGCTTCAACGAAATTCCCGCTACAACGAAAAATTCATGGTTCGCTGTCAGCAGTCCATAGGAGTCAATGCATAAATATTGTCGCCACAACAGACACTTTTTCTTCAGCCGTCTCGCTTCAACGAAATTTCAAGGTGCGATTCCAGGCTCAGATATTTATTGCTATACAGTAAACTCAATCTTTAACATTTTGATGCATTTTCAGAACCTGAAAATGCGTCGACGAAGTCTAAAAGGCGTTGGCACCACCAGAAACCACCGCTGTTCAGCAAGCATGGGCACCGCGGTTGCTCGATAGCGATGGCAATGAGA